AGCAGCAAAAAGAAAGTTGCACAGTGAATATGACATGGTATTGCACAGTAATTATTGCACATTGTTGTTGTCAAACATTATTATTATTAAGTCATGTAACTCGATTCTCCTACTTTTGAGATTTGCAACTAAATAAAGCATGATGCCTTCACATAGGTTTGCCGCCTAGTAAATGCAACTGGTCAGTAATATTATATGTTTCATTTCCAGTTTCAGTGATCCCTCCCAGTGGGAATCAGACACTCGTCCACCCACTTGATGTGTATCATAAAACAGACTTTGCTCTGCCATTTACTCACAGCACTTTGCAAAAACGCCAAATTTGATTTTATTTGGAGCATTGTGACTTGAGAGTCTATTGTGAGTGGTGTTGTGTGGAGAGTCCCTGCAGCCAGGATCTTTGAAGGATTCGCACCAAGCTCTGAGCTCCTGTCAAAACATTGGTTTATCTGCAGATCTTTTAACAGTTATTCAGAGGTTAGCCCATTTAATGGTTATTATTAGAAACAGTATTCAGAGGCAGAGAAGCTCTAATTTGGTGAACACTGGCCACAACTAAAAATTACAAAACTCCTGAAATTCAAGTCTTTCCATGAATAGCACCTGCGGGCATTATTGTACGTAGTAGACCATACACATTATCAGATCCCTATCCTTATAAATAAAGTCTGCTATTATCTACAAACAACCGACACCCACCACATCATAAAGTCCAAAGTCAAAGCTAACATTATTGTGATATTGTGGTTTTAGCTGGCTAACGTTAGCTTGCTTGCCAAAGCAGATGAATTGCTAGCTACCTAACATAGCAAGGGTCCAAGGGTACAAGCTGTGCATAAAATGTGCGTGAGGTGTGAGCGGATGAGCGAGAGAGAGAGAGTGTGCGCGCGCGGATGCAGGAGCTGCAGGTTAGAAAAGTCTCTGAAACCAAATTTTATAATTTTGGGAACAGCTGCTGTGCCAGCAGCTCCTTCCAGTTCCATCTTCCAGTGCTCCGCTCCGGCCTCTACAACCGCTGCAGTCAGTGATGGGTGCGTCACTTGGTTAGATTACAGGTTGCCAGGTTCGCCAACATGCAACAGGAAACATCCGATCGAAAAGATTTGTTATATATATATATATATAATTCACATATTAATAAAGACAACAATGACTTGTCAAGTCATTTAATGCAAGTCTAAGTCAAGTGTCAGGTCATGACTAGCAAGTCAAAGTCAAGAGTCAAGTCTTGACTTTCATATCAAAGTATTACTTTGATATGAATAACAGCGTGAAGACCCCTGTCAGTACAAACATATGATTTAAAAAAGCCGTAATGCTCATTGTCAGGATAAACAAACTATTCATGGCTGTGGTCCAAAGTTTGATTTTGAATTTAAGTAGTCATGGTGAAGTGGTGGTGTCAGAGTACAATGGGGTGATCTATATCAAAAGGGTTTACCATGTTATTATCATCAATATGTGCCTCACTTTTTTTTAAATCTGAAAAACAAACAACATATTAACCTACAGTAAGCCAGTTGTGAGATTTTGTGATCTCATGTGCAGTATTGGTGAGCAAACACTTGAAAAATCAGCTGGAGAGATGTAAATTGTGTTTGTATTTTAATACATATTACTTATTCAATCTTGCCACTTGACATATACACCTTTTAATTTAATTATATTTTTTTAATGTAGTGCTACCAGATTCTGAAAATATTCCATTACAAGTAAAAGTTCAGGAGTATCATTCTGTACTCATTATGCAGCAGACTGGCTCCTGTTTGAGTTATTTTATAGTATATTAGCTATATTATTGCAGCATTTTAACACTGTAGCCTTTGACAGTATATATAAGGTCGTAACTAGTTGAGGAGAAATGCATCATATTTATGAGCTGCTGATTTCTTTAGGGAAATCTTTGCAATGCAAGTAATACAAAATGATAAATGTAATGGAGTAAAAAGTTTCATTTGTATTGTCAATGTGTTAAAGCATAAAAGAGAAAGAAATATATATACAGTACAGAGTGTAGAAAGAAGGAGATAAAGCAGGAGAAGGGCTGGCTCAGATTGTGGCAGTGGCAGCTAGCAAAGCATACACAAAAACTAAGGATAAGTCCAGCAAAGTCCACACAGTCACAAAGTTTTTTACTCCTTCCACCAAAACACTACCAAAAAAAGGTAAATACTATTAAACATTATCAACTGCAGGAGCTGCTAATGACTATTTATCATAGCTTTATTTTTAGGGTTGAGTGTTAGTGACATTTGTGCCCTGTCCTAGTTTTGTTTTATGTCGACTTGTTTTAATTAAAATCTTTTCTATGCCTGCATTTTGGCAGAACTGGTTCTGGTTTCCTGTTTTACTGGGGAAAAAAAAGAAACCAAACCAGACCAGAAGTCTCAGAAATGTTTGCTCAATAATATTTTCTTTTCTTTAGTTCAACCACTTGATAACCCACAGTGTGGTTAAAAAAGATTGTTAGACTGCAACATATAGCACAGCTGCATCTGTCTTTATAGCATTTACTAAACGATTGACCATCGATCCACATATAAACATTGCCATCCCAATAGATACCTTTGAAGAAACTGTGGTAGTCACCAAAAAAGTAAGCCTATAGAAGTTTATTAGTAGGACAAATGCGCTTTAAATATCACGCCTCCTTCAAATGCGATGCCGTGCGTTCAAAAAAGAGCCCGCCACCAATGCGACCCCTGATAAAGCGTCACACCTGTGGAAGGTCGTGGCCAGACATACTAATGGATAAAGCTACATGAAGTTGACCGGCCATACTTCTGGCTTTCAGAAATACTCGGCTCAGAGGTGTCAATAGCGTGCATGTAGTCCGTACGACTTTAAGGATTATGCCGTGGATTATGGAGAGTTGTATGGGGCTCTCGTATTTCTAATATATGTGAAGGATATCCATGTTGTAAACATATCCCTATACCATCGGGTGTTGATTTGTCAATCTCCCTGTTAATAACTTCTCCTACATGATGTAAGTATGAGAAAACAAATAGATTTCACACACACATGTAATATAGGTCAATGCATCCATGTTTCTTGCTGGAAAGGTTCCCAACGCGGAACCTGCAGCACATAACACCACCCTCTGCACTGTTCTAAAGTAATAAGCAGCATCTAGTTGACCACCAAAACCACTATTTTCCTTAATGTGTCTCTCTAGTAACCGCTATGAGGATGTCACGTATCGGTGGTATTTCTGGGTGTATATACAAATAATCGCTAGTAAATAACCCTGATTATCTAATAAATTTACAGGTGAATTATACACTAATCAAAACATAAGGTCATTCAATAGTGATATTATTTTTTATTTATGTAATTATGTTGATATTTCTATTGTGATGATCAATTATAAAAAGTATATTTAGTATATTATTTTTAATAGATAATTTATTTTATTTTAAACTTGTTGGCCCATGTTTTCTCCTTGTGTGAACCGCAACATCTGGTTTTTAAATTTCTGCTGCGGAGGATGGCAAAAGGGGGGGGTTTAAATATTTTAACTTTGGGATGGCATGCTGTTTACTGTTTTAGCTTTTTGGGGGATTTAGATTCATTTTTTACACTCTTTTATTTTTATACACACACACGCTGAAATGCACACTGAAGGTGGAAGGATGAGCTGCGACGTTAGCAGCGCCCCAGGAGCGTTTTGGGTTAGTTGCTTGCTCAAGGGCACCTAGGCAGTGCATCAGGAGGGAAACTGGACTCTCCAGCTGCGAAGTCGCACACACCAGTACTGGGGTCTGTGAAGCTTGAAGCCAGCGAGGCTAAGTCCTACACACACTAACCCGTCCTGCTCTCAACACTAACATGACATCCGGATTTGCATCTACCATCTGAGTCATGTGCTGGCAGCAGAAGAAATTATATGGTCTACAGGCTCATTTCACACAACAAAACACAATGAATTAATTCACATAAAACTCCCACCTTATAGCATCAGCTCCTCAGTGAAGGCCCGGCACACCAGACTCAGAGGTTTTGAGAAAATCAATTTTTTCCGCGCATTGCATGGTCAGCTGTCCACAGAAGAATGAAGGCTTGAGAGGATGGGGCTTGGTCAGCATGTCACAACCCACAGTTTGCTAGTCAAATGATAGGGGAAGCCAAATAGTATTGAATAATAAGGATCCAAGTTGATATTTTATGATAATAAAGATAGCAGAATATCATCAGCAAAACGTCTATATAAATAATATTCATTCAACTTTTGTTCCGGCTCTGTTTGGGTCTAATCACTACATATACCGCACAGTTGAGAACCACTGCTTTATATAAATG